ACACAATGATTCAGCATTTTGAACGAATCGATTGACTCAAAGATTCAATGACCAATCCATAAACATGTATTGTCTCATTCATGAATGACTCAGTCGTTCGAACTAATCATTTGAACGAATGAATCAATGACTCACTCATTAAGACGGTCGCCTGGCGACACCTAATGACGGTTTAGTGTTATGTTTAAAAGTATCATTCTTTCCAACTCATATTTAAAACAATCTCACATTATTTAATGCATTGTTATTTTTCAGTGTAAACGATTTAATTTGATCACCCCTACCTAGAGTAACAGCCATATAGTGTCTTATTATTCTAAATAATTGAATTTATTGATCAAATTTACAAATTAAAAATGAAAGATGAAGCATACATTTAATAAGACTAGACTAGGGGTGCCCAGCAGATATTACAATTGGCAGATTTAAATATACCATGGCCCCCCACCGTCAATTTGGTGTGTGTATAATAAAATCATTTAGTCACTACAATTAAAACTTGAACGTATTTGCTTACTAAATTGTGAGCAGAACGAAAGTTGCAGCAAAGATCAGCAACAGGAGTCAAAATTCATTAATCACGAGAGTGAAGAGCTGACTGGAAAAATTATGACGGAATATTTTGTGTAAAAGCGCCTATATAAGCGAATCTGTCATTTACTCTTTTGTTGTTGTCTTTTCCCTGAAAACCGGAAGCAATCGGTCCCCGATATGGCGCTAATTTTAGTGACACTAAAAAGTATGCGGCTGCACTGGAATTCATAACGGTGCGCGTCCATGGCGACGAGCGAGCAAAACAGAGCGAATGTTTTTTCATTTCTACTTCCATAGAAATTCATTCGAGCGCACTGTGAGCGCCACCACTATAAATGTCCGTGCGGACGTCCTTACTTTACTTTCACTTTTAACTTAGCGATTTAACACGTTTTACACGTCAAATAACCGGTGAGAAAATATTCTCGGAGTCACATAGGCTACCTAATATATTTAAATACAATAGGCCTACCTGATTTTGAACACAAGAGGGCAGTATAGCCCTATGTATTATTTGATATATTTATTTTTTTAACTGAATAGTGCATCCTGGCTGTTTTTAAACTTGTACATTACTCTTAAATTGAAAACAAGAATAAAATGGGTTTAGTTGTGATATTTGTATAATTTTATCTAGAAATAAATGGTGTATAATTAAATTTTTAGAAGATATGAGGCTTTTAGTGTTTATTTTTTTTTTACATGATTTTAATCCCTCGCCATAGCAAAACAATTAGAGATATTCAATAGATATTCACAATTATGCTTCTTTAATGTATTTTCATCATGTTGAAAAAGTTTGGTGGGAATAAAATAAACCACTTAAGAGGAGTGGGTAAAAATGTAGAGCCTGGTTTTGCAAAACATCCACATTAAGACAAAAATAGCCCACTTCCTGTTGGGCTGGCTTAAAGTTGTTTGGCCCGATGAGATCTATATACCGAGTTTCATAATATTACATGCAAGTGTGTTTGATTTATGGACCAAATTTTCTGACGAAGTTTATGGACCAAGTTAATTTAATTAATAAACTAATTATATAAAACTATTTTCAATGCACTACAATTCAACTGGTTATATGCCTTTACTTATTAATACAACTTATTTAAAAAATACAAGGCGTAAGACATTTATTTTCTTTTTTAATGCAGGCCAAACAACACAGCAGTCAAATGGTTAATCTAGCCCCCCTCCCCCTCCCCACACTCACAGACACACACACACACAGAGACGTAGGCTCAGAGAGAGAGAGAGACATAAAATGACAATTTTCAAACCAAAATATCTGACTTCCTGTTGGTTGGAGCTATTGAGTGTAAATTAGAAACTTGTCTGGCTGGAGGAGAACAATACACATACCGATTTTTATTACTGTAGATAAAATTAATCCCCCCACTTTTGACAAAAGGTGGCGCTACTGAGCCCTCAACACGCCCGTTTCTGAAACTTTGCACATGTCTACTGGCTAATAAATGAGATGTGTCTGTCGAGTTTCATGCAATTTTAAGCAATTTCAGGCATGCTAAGAGTCTCAAAAGCATAAAAAAAGAATATTAAAGTTTGATGCGTTGCCACGACAACAGTATCTAAGATATCAAGAATCCATTCACAGGTCTACATCTGCCGTGTGTTTACATTATAGTAGTGAAGTTTGAAGCAAATCGGGTAAAAATAAGAGGGTGATTTCAAAGCATTTAGGAAGTGACACACTTCCTTCTGCCAGTTGGTGGCGCTATAACTTTGACTCACAATAGTCACATCCATGTGATCGGGCTCTTACAACGAACACACTGGTGAAGTTTCATCAAGATCAGTTAATGTATGCAGTAGTTATGACACACTTCCTGTTTCACGTTTCTCGCCATAATTTTGTTTCCTCGCCACGGCCAAACCGTTCGAGATATCAAAAATCCCCTCGCAAACTTTCATCCTCAATGTCTTGACTTCATGCTGACCGAGTTTCGTGCCGTTTGTTTGAATTCTCTAGGAGGAGTATTTCACATTCCATTGCGTGTGTTTTACCAACAACCCTAAATAGCCGACTTCCTGTTGGGCTGGGGTAAAAAGTAAGAGTGTGAAGTATATATGAAACGAGGAGATCTACATGTGTACCGAGTTTCATATTATTACATGCAAGCGTGTTTGATTTATGGACCATGTTTTCGGACCCCGTTCCAGGGGGCGCTGTCGAGCCCCCCTGCCACGCCCGGGTACCATCTTCAGCCCGGCCCTGATGGCCGCGGGTTCTGACCAGTGTGCAAAGTTTCAGGAGTTTTTGAGCATGTTAAGGCCTCCAAAAGTGTCCAAAAGGTAGCAGAAAAATAATAAGAAGAATAATAAATAATCCTAAGGAAAACAATAGGGCCTTCGCCCTTTGGGCTTGGGCCCTAATAATAATAATAATAATAATAATAATAATAATAATAATAAATAATCCTAAGGAAAACAATAGGGCCTTCGCCCTTTGGGCTTGGGCCCTAATAATCCTAAGGAAAACAATAGGGCCTTCGCCCTTTGGGCTTGGGCCCTAATAATAATAAATAATCCTAAGGAAAACAATAGGGCCTTCGCCCTTTGGGCTTGGGCCCTAATAATCCTAAGGAAAACAATAGGGCCTTCGCCCTTTGGGCTTGGGCCCTAATAATAATAATAATAATAATAAATAATCCTAAGGAAAACAATAGGGCCTTCGCCCTTTGGGCTTGGGCCCTAAATATCATATATTTGTTATAATTATTTTTCTTTAAAAAAAAAGAAGCAAAAATCAGGGTTGCAGTGAGACACAGTGTAAGTGAATGGGGCCAATCCGTACATTTTAAAATGCTCACTGTTTCAATAGTATATCCACAAGTCAAAAGGTTTGTCATTTTTTACACCAAAATTGTGTTGACATTACTAAATGGCAAAAAAATTCAGTTTTACAACTCAAATAAGATGAATTTTAAAAGAAGAATTATTAAAAGTGCTTTTATAAAATTATGAGCTTCACATTTCTGCTTTTAAATCCACAAAAAATTGTCCCCATTTACTTCCATTATAAGTCCATCTTCATAAGGTATTTTTTTTAAATATATATATAAAAATATATATAATATATATATTTAGCTCATACTCACTTGCCACTTTATTAAGTAGACCTTGCTAGTACCGGTTGGAGCCCCTTTTGCCTTTTTCCCAGAACTGCCTTTATTCTTTGTGGCATAGATGCTGGAAACATTTCTCTGAGATTTTGGTCCATATTGACATGAAAGCATCACTCAGTTGCTGCAGATTTGTCGGCTGCACATCCATGATGAGAATCTCCCATTCCTCCACATACCAAAGAGATCTGGTGACTGTGGAGGCCATTTGAGTTTAGTGTCATGTTCAAGAAACAGTTTGAGCCGGTGAGTTGAGCTTTGTGACGTGTGTGTTATCCTGCTGGAAGTGGCAATCAGAAGACGGAAACACTGTGGTCATAAAGAGATGGAGATGGTCATCAACAATACTCAGGTCGGCTGTGGTGTTTAAACGATGCTCAATTGGTGCTGAGGGACCCAAAGTGTGCCAAGAAAATATCCTCCACACCATTAAACCAACACCAGCAGCACCAGCTGAACCGTTCATACAAGGCAGGATGAATCCATGCTTTCATGTTGTTTATGCCCAATTCTGACCCATGCCTCTGAAAGACTCATCAGACCAGGCAACGTTTTTCGATAATTTCCTGTCCAGTTTTGTTGAGCCCGTGTGAATCGTAGCCTCAGTTTGCTGTTGTTATCTCACAGGAGTGTCACTGGTGTCTTCTGCTGTTGTAGCTCTTCTGCTTCAAGGTTCAACATGTTCAGAGATGCTCTTCTGCAGACCTCGGGTGTCACGAGTGGTTATTTGAGTTTCTGTTGTCTTTCTATCAGCTGAACCTTGTAATTCTTCTCTGACCTCTGGCATCAACAAGGCATTTTCTCCCACAGAACTGCAGCTCACTGGATATTTTCTCTTTTTCTGACCATTCTCTGTAAACCCTAGAGATGGTTGTGTGTGAAAATCCCAGTAGATCAGCAGTTTCTGAAATACTCAGACCAGCCCGTCTGGCACCAGCAACCCTGTCACATTCAAAGTCACTGAATCACCTTTCTTCCCCATTCTGATGCTCAGTTTGAACTTCAGCAGATCATCCTGACCATGTCTACATGCCTAAACGCATTGATTTTCTGCCATGTGATTGGCTGATTAGATATTTGCTTTAACATGCAGTTGAACAGGTGTACCTAATAAAGTGGCTGGTGAGTGTATATTTGAAATGTATTGTGGCCAGAATTTATTTATTTAATTATTTGTTTTGTTACATAGAAAAAGGTTTAATACTTAAAATCAGGGGTGTATTCACTGATCCCCTGGTAAAGAACATTGATTTTTCAAAGCAGTCTGATTAAAACCATCATGTGCACATTTATAAGCACTAATAAGCGTGTTTAATTGGATCTCAGGGTTGACATCTCTGATACTCTGATGTATGTGTATGAGCTGCTGGGCCCAGAGCTCCTCAGAAACCTTTATGATAAACTAGGCACACTGCTGACGGACACAACACACCCCTCCTCATGGCAAGTCAGTCCTGATGTTACATAAATATGGTGTGTATATATAATATAAATGTCATGTATCATATTGAACAATATCTCTGTTATCTCCCTCTCTCCTGTGGAGGATATAGAGGCTCTGCTGTTTGGTTTTCAGTCCATTGCTGAGACAGTAGATGTCAGTTACTCAGACGTCATTCCAGGACTGATCGGTCTGATTCCTCTGATCACAGCCAACAATATTCAGCTGGCTGAGACCATCATGTTCACCATAGGTACACTAATTCATTTGTAAACACACCTTGCAAATGTATTCTACAAATATAATCTTAAAAATAAAACCAAATGGAAATGTCAAATGCTGGGAAAAATACCTGCATCAAATAGTAGCTTCATCATATGTTTTAGTAGTTTAGTTGGTATGGCGAGCAATTCATTTTGTTTCATAACGCATTAACGAAAATTTGTGAAAGTTGATTTTATGTCTGCACAAATGGTGAGGGTTCAATTCCTAGGTTTGAAAGTAATTGACTTCTGCTGTCATGATTTCTTGTAGGCTCTTTGGCTGAGTGGCTGGCCGATCATTCGCTCATGTTGGCGAGTGTCCTGCCTGTGGTCTTGCATGGTCTGTCCAACCCGGATCTGTCCGTGTCTTGTGTCTCAGCTCTGAAGAGAATCTGCCGAGAGTGTCGGCATGACCTCCACCTTCACGCCAGTGACATCATGGCCGTCTCACAGGTTTTAAAAAACCTTTCGCCTAGAAGTGCCGCTGTTGTTGTACCGAACCAGTGTCAGTGAGTAATGTACTAAACTCACTGTGGTCTTTGTGGTTTCAGGCGGTGCTTGTCAAAGAGATCCATAAAGTAAGTCCGAGCCATGTGTGTTTGATTCGTTTTAAAAACACTGTAACTGTAACTTGCACTAATAACATGATTGCATCGTATAATGCTCAACCCTCCTAAGCTTTTAGAAAAAGAGTCACACATTGGCTATTCACTGTCATGTATTTGTCTCTTGTTTTGTGTGCAAACACATGGCCGGTTGTTTTGTGCTATGTGTTGGCATTGTCTTGTGTTTTACCTGGTTTCCTTGTTAATGTTGTATCAGTGTCACCTGTGATTGTGATCATGTGTCCTTACCACGCCCCTTGTTCCCTCGTTAGTATTGATGTTCATCAGTGTCACCTGTACCTTTTGTGATGTGTTCTATGTAGCTCCCGGTGTTTGTTCCTCAGTGCTGGTTCGTCTTGTTAACAGTCGGTTCTGTGAGTATTGTGCTCTGTCTGTGAAAGTTCCAGTTCCTATTTGTGGTCAAGTCTAGTTATTGTCTGAGTTACTGTTTGTTTGCCCCATCGTGGGTCTTTGTTTTCCGTTTGTAATAAACCGTGTTTTGTAAAATTACTGTCTGCGCTTGGGTTCTATTTAGCGTAACGTGACAGAACGAACCAGCCCATTTGAACCCAGCAGACAGTCGACTATGTCTTGTTCCGCCAGTAGCCAGTTGGGTGACCAGGAGCGATGGTGGCAGTCGACCATCGAGGACATGAGGAGGGGCAAGATTCCGTTTCCTCCCCAGGGAGAGAGATCCCTGGAGAGATATGCCCAGGGCCTAGAGGAGAAGAGAAATTTTACGCCGGAGGTCCTCCTAAACTCCTATTTCATCGCGGGGCTCAATGTACCTCCTCCGCTGGCTGAACGGCAGGGGCTGATCCGACGCCCATTTCGAGAGGTAGTGGACCATGTGCGTCGAAAGGAGCGGCAGGACCCCACAATGACGTTGTCAGCTTCTGCATTACCAGCGATCCCGGAGAGTCGCGTCCTAGCCACGACAACGCTTGGCGCCCACGTTCTCGCTGCTTCGACGTTGGCGGGGGGTCCTTCAGCCTTGGCTGCGGGGATCACAGTACCGATCCTAGATCCGGCTATGGCTTCTGCACCGCGGTCAAAGAGGAGGAGGAAGAGATCGTCGGGTTTGCCGTCTCAATCCCTTCCCGGCTCCGTGCCGATTCTTCAGGTTGCTTCTGACAGTCTGGTCCACGCTAAGGCAGATGGGAGAGTGACCAAGTCCAGCCCTGTCCCAGCTGTGGAGTCTACTACTGCCCACGCTGAGTCGTCTGTGGCACCCCCTGTCCCAGGTCCGTTGCGAGTTGCAACGCCCCCAGTTTTGGGTTCTGTATCGTCTCCTCTGCTTGCTGCCACAACATCTGTTGTTTCCCCGATTACCCCTGTTCCTGTTGTGCCCCGACCTGTCCCCCCCAAGACTGTACCTCATGTGTCTCCACCCAGAACTGCCCGGTTTTCGTGTCCTCAATCAGTGCCCATGTCCAGTGAATTTAGGACTTTTGTTCCACCCACCCACCCTGGACCTCCACCTACGAACTCTTTTGTTCCCCCACCCCCCCTCCCTCATGTGTTATTTTTATTGTGTCATCCCGATCCTACTGTTATGTTTTCGTGTTTGCCACTGTTAATGGTTGTTATGTTTTGTTGGTTTATGTCTAGTTTACAGTCGGTTATGTCCCATGTGGAGCGTCTGGTAGCCGCTCCGTAAGGAGGAGGTTATGTCATGTATTTGTCTCTTGTTTTGTGTGCAAACACATGGCCGGTTGTTTTGTGCTATGTGTTGGCATTGTCTTGTGTTTTACCTGGTTTCCTTGTTAATGTTGTATCAGTGTCACCTGTGATTGTGATCATGTGTCCTTACCACGCCCCTTGTTCCCTCGTTAGTATTGATGTTCATCAGTGTCACCTGTACCTTTTGTGATGTGTTCTATGTAGCTCCCGGTGTTTGTTCCTCAGTGCTGGTTCGTCTTGTTAACAGTCGGTTCTGTGAGTATTGTGCTCTGTCTGTGAAAGTTCCAGTTCCTATTTGTGGTCAAGTCTAGTTATTGTCTGAGTTACTGTTTGTTTGCCCCATCGTGGGTCTTTGTTTTCCGTTTGTAATAAACCGTGTTTTGTAAAATTACTGTCTGCGCTTGGGTTCTATTTAGCGTAACGTGACATTCACGCCATGGGGAATTTTTGCCTGGGAACAGTAAGAGTGTAACTTTTCCCACTACCTTCCCTGAAATAGATTTTAAGTCATTTAGATATAATTTAGATTTTAGATATATGTGTAAGTATCTCTATTTTGCTATCATTTGTTTAAGCAAATACGCAAACCTTTCAAACTTCATTTGGAACATACATGTTTGGTCCCTATGAGGAAAGAAGCTTATAGATCATAGTAAATTATGTTTTTTTAAAATTTAAAAAGTGCAGAATGTTTTCTGTGAGGTTTGTGTTCAGGGTTAGGGGATAAAACATACAATTTGCATAGTATAAAAATTATAATGTCTATGGAAAGTCATAAAACATGGAAACCTGTGTGTGTGTGTGCTGTGAATCTTTTGCACTCTGGATGTTTTATAATCTCACCCCTTCATTTCTGTGTGTTCATTCAACACTCGCTGATATATAAGCTCACCTAAAGGATTATTAGGAACACCTGTTCAATTTCTTATTAATGCAATTATCTAATCAACCAATCACATGGCAGTTGCTTCAATGCATTTAGGGGTGTGGTCCTGGTCAAGACACTCTCCTGAACTCCAAACTGAATGTCAGAATGGGAAAGAAAGGTGATTTAAGCAATTTTGAGCGTGGCATGGTTGTTGGTGCCAGACGGGCCGGTCTGAGTATTTCACAATCTGCTCAGTTACTGGGATTTTCACGCACAACCATTTCTAGGGTTTACAAAGAATGGTGTGAAAAGGGAAAAACATCCAGTATGCGACAGTCCTGTGGGCGAAAATGCCTTGTTGATGCTAGAGGTCAGAGGAGAATGGGCCGACTGATTCAAGCTGATAGAAGAGCAACTTTGACTGAAATAACCACTCGTTACAACCGAGGTATGCAGCAAAGCATTTATGAAGCCACAACACGCACAACCTTGAGGCGGATGGGCAACAACAGCAGAAGACCCCACCGGGTACCACTCATCTAGGAAAAAGAGGCTACAATTTGCAAGAGCTCACCAAAATTGGACAGTTGAAGACTGAAAAAATGTTGCCTGGTCTGATGAGTCTCGATTTCTGTTGAGATATTCAGATGGTAGAGTCAGAATTTGGCTTCTTGAACATGACAATGAGTTCACTGTACTAAAATGGCCCCCACAGTCACCAGATCTCAACCCAATAGAGCATCTTTGGGATGTGGTGGAACGGGAGCTTCATGCCCTGGATGTGCATCCCACAAATCTCCATAAACTGCAAGACGCTATCCTATCAATATGGGCCAACATTTCTAAAGAATGGTTTCAGCACCTTGTTGAATCAATGCCACGTAGAATTAAGGCAGTTCTGAAGGCGAAAGGGGGTCGCACACAGTATTAGTATGGTGTTCCTAATAATCCTTTAGGTGAGTGTATATTTAGATTTCATTCAACACATATTTTATGACCACTTAGACTCATGGAAGTCTCGTTTTTTTCTTCGGTTGTTCAGATTGAATATCTAAAATATCACCAAGCTTTAACTCTATACCATGCTTAATAGTTATATCCCAGTAGGATTGACAGTAAGTCTTCTGCTCAGAGCCCGCAGTGCATGTGGATAATGCAGGCACTGGGTTTCCTGCTCTCAGCCCTGCCCAGTGAAGAGATTCTGGGGAAGCTGCTCTCTCTGGTCACTCCCCACATCCAACAGCTGGAGAAACTGGCCAATGAGCTGGTGAGGTGCAATAATGTCAGTGTATGCTTGATTCACATACTATTTGAGTAATCCGAAACCTGAAGAGAAAATGTATTCGTAAAGTACACAATAAATACAGTTCCAAAAAAGTTTTATAGTTAACTTCCCAGACACCAACAAAGTGTCAGCCCAGATCCGGCCCACATCTGGTACGGGTGGAATCCACATGTACCAGATGTGGCCTGGATCTGGGCCGACACTATGTTTCTGTCTGGGTTTAAACCCTCATGTCATTCCAAACCTGTGGTGGAACACAAAAGAAGATGTTGTGCAAAATGTTTTTCTCAGTATTTTTCTCTTTTACCCTTTGATGCAGCCCAGCTCTGCTAATAAACTTCCTACTATCCACATCCTTGGCCTGCTGTCTAATCTCTTCTCTACATTTGATCTAAACAAGCAAAGTGAAAGAGTGGAAGTGATGAGGCCTGTCCAAACACAGCCACACAGCAACAACCCGGTATGACAACATATCACGGCTCAACCTCCAATCAGTTTTGTTTATTAGCAAGCATGTTTGAATCAGCACAGACCTGTAAAATGAACACTCAACAGTACGTGTGGTTTGACAGTTGTTCTGGTCATTTCTCAGGTGGTAGTTGTCCTGCAACAGGCCTTCCCTTTAATACAGACTGTTCTCAACAAGTGGCTGAATGAACCTGAGGTGGTAGAGGTCAGTGTAGGCGAACGTGTGTGTGTGTGTGTGTGTTTATGTGAGTATATGAAAGATTCCCTTTTCTCTCACCTCAACTCAGGCGGTGTGTGCTGTCTTTGAGAAATCACTTAAGACCCTTATCCATGACTTTGCACCGCTGGTGACTCAGCTCTGTGAGCTCATTGGTCAGATGTTCAGCGCATACCCACAAGCCTCGACTTTAGACCTCACAAGACAAGTAAAGACACGGTCTAACCCTTCACATAAAACAAAACATTTCTGTGTTTGCTTCATAAGTTGAGTGTCATAATGTGTTTCTATTCCTCTAGTTAGTTCACATTTTTGGCTGTGAGAAGGATCGTTTTACTCCAATCACTGCCCTTTTAGAGCTGATTACCAACATCACCATGTCCATTTTTCAGCTAGGTAAGAGATTAGAGTCACAAATCGGCATTGGTGAGTTAATAAAATTGTCAATCGCCAGTTGGCTGGTAATATTTTTATGAATTCTAACAATGCAATGTTGTGAGAACATGAACGTAAACAAACGTGAACGTCGCCCGGGACAGTTGAAGGGCCAGCGCTGCATCGTCACGAAAGTTTAAGCCTTGCCAATTTAAACATTCAAGCGCAAGAAGACGCGAAAGGGAACTCAATTCGTTACTCACACGCTGTGTGGAAAGTTTTGTGTGCGCAAACATCCGAAGTGCATGCCCAGACAGGGCGCAAATGATGAATTGAGCTCTCTTTCACATCTTCTTGTGCTTGAATGGACAAATTCAAAGTCTCGCCGAGTATCACGAGTATCCTAGTAAACAGTCGGTTGTGCATAAACGTTGGTTAAGCGTCGGTTAGGCTGAAGTAAACGTAAACAGTATATTGGATTCGCGCATCATAATAATCCTGCTGCTCTCTGCGTTTTTAATGTTAATCAAAATGAACTAATAAAAAATGTAATTTTGTCCTTACCATGAAAATCAATAGGGGCCAGTGTTGTTTTTGACATTGTATGGACAAAAACAGTTAAAACATTTTCAAGAAAATTTTCTTCGTGTTCCACAGAAAAAAGAAAGTCAATGATGGTAAGTAAATGATGACAGAATAAACATTTTTTGGGGTGAACTATCCCTTTAAGGGTATATTAAGTAACCTTTTACACTATAAATTGTTTTACCCCTGAAGAAATGAATAGTACAGAAACATTATTAAAATGACTGGTCTAGAAAAAGCTTGGTGGCTGCCACGTTAAGATCACATGACCAGCATTTTACTCACTTGGGGCCTCATGTATCAACACTGCGTACGCACAAAAACACGGCGTACGTCAGCTTTCACGTTCACGGCCAGATGTACTAACAGTGAAATTAACGTAAGAATGTGCGTTCCTCCAAGTAAACTTCATGTCTGGCGTACGTACATTTGTCGTGATTTTTGTCCGTTGGCGACTCATAGAGGCAATAAAGTGAAGTGGCAAACATTACACTACGAATTGTTCTATCGCACCACCAGCTGTCGGATATTGCTAATAATTTGTAATTGATCAATTAATTGACATATTATTGTCACACGAGTTTCATTAAAATATTATATTATGCAATTAAGTAAGAACATAGGCTATATAAAGCATGTCCAAATTGATACAACCCGTCTAGCAATGGCAGCGTTGGCTTAACTAGGAATAAAAAATAAACTTCATTAATTCGGTCAGTTAAGATAAAAAAAGAAAGTAATATTTTTATTCAGCAAGGACACATTGAATTTGTTTAAAAGTGAGAGTAAATGCATTTATAATGTTACAAAAGATTATAAGATTTCTATATCTGTTTGATTTAAGTTTTTATTCATTAAAGAATCCTGAAAATACTATATCACGGTTTCCACGAAAATATGAAGCAGAAGCACACCTGTTTTCAACACTGATAATACTCAAAAATGTTTCTTGATCATCAAATCATCATATTAGAATGATTTCTGAAGGATCATGTGACACTGAAGACTGGAGAAATGATGCTGAAAATTCAGCTTTGATCACAGGAATAAATTACACTTTACTATATATTCACATAGAAGACATTTTCAGTGAAATTTCGTTTCTTGCTTGCTTTAGCCATGTTCTTGCAGGTTTATTTAGCCAAATTGGACTAATTACCATATTTAAATGAATTTAATTGGGGGAGGAGACTGGGTGGGGCGTTGTGCTCGTGCATGTGCGCTCGATTTTACGTTAATTGGGATGTACAAAGAGAATATGCGTGGGATCCTTCGTACGCAGAGATTCATACATCTGCTTTTTTTTGTCCGTACGCACATTTACAGCTTTGTCCGTACGCAATGTTTTAGTATGAATTCAACGCAAGTCTTTGTACATGAGGCCCTTGATCTCTGTGATCAGACACTTTTGTTGGCTTGTGAAAAAAATAAAAGAATACCTTCAGAGAAAAGAACCTACATTGCCCAATTTTACAATTATTGTTATGATATTAACGTTTGACTTATAGTCATTTTACTATATATAAATGTCGTAGGCTCCAGAGATCATCCAGATGTGGTGGAGTCATTTATGCAGCTTCATGCTCAGGTCTGTGCTCGTTTATTTTTGCCTTAGTCTTCTGACTTTAGTCTACGCATTTACACAGATTTAATATTTTACATATATTTTCATTGTTCAAAAGAACCGTTTCTTTAAAAAAAAAAAAAAAAAATTTTAGAATAAGATAATCTCTGATGTCTTTGCAGGTTTTGAGAAGAAAGTCTGAGCTTTATCTTTCAGACCATCTTGATATTAAAGCTGTATTCTACTGTGGTGAGTGTCACTTCAGCAAGCTCATTTAACAATGCTCAACATTTATTCACTCATCCATTAACTGTCGATGTGTTTGTAGGAATCTTGTCCTTCAAATTCCCTGAAACTCCAACACTGAAAGCAACCTGTCTGCTATTTGTAAGTACTGTACAACACATTTAACATGTTCATCTTTACAGAGACCTGTAGTGAAACATACAGCCCAAATGCTAGTGCTTGTACTGGAATAAACCTTATCTGTAGCATTAGTAATTGTAATATTAGTGGACTTGAGTGGAGTATATAGTAACCAAACTGAGCTCTCTCGACACAGACGGAGCTGATCTCTCATTGTGAGGATGTTCCTGCTGTGAGGGAGCTGCTACAGGATGACGGCAAGCTGCTCCTTCAGACCCTACTAGAGGTCAGACCTTTCTGCATGCAATTCAGTCATATAGAAATCAGCGGTTTCAGACAGACTCTCTGTGCATTAGTGGTTGGGATTTCTCATCATTTCACTATTGGCTGACAGGTGACCTTTATGACTGAGTCAATGAATCGTTCATTCGTCTGGTTTAATTATACTGATTCACTTAGTATGGAAACAAGACTCTCCTTATGAGCGAGTCATTGAATCGTTCACTCTAGCTAGTTGTATAAAAACACTGATTAATTCAGGAACAAATGAAGTGAATGTCTTTATGAGTGAGCCATTGAATAATTTAACCTATTTGTTCTATCACACTGATTCACTTATTATGGAAACAAGTGATTGTCTTTATGAGAGGTTCATTGAATCTTTCACTTAGCTGTTTCGTTCAAAAGCGCTGATTCAAATAAGTGACTGGCTGCATCTGAAATCGCATACTTCCCTAGTAGGAGAAAAACAGTATGTGACAAAAGAAGTGTCAGAATTCACAGTACTCATAAAAGAGTAAGCAAAAAGTACCCGGATGACCTACTACTTCAGTTGAGATTCTGAAGTGTGCAAACAGTGGACACTTTACTATCCCATGAGGCCACGGGAGACGATTTGTGGATGGCAGTGAAGCAACGCAACTGACGCTGATAGGTCACATGACAGTGACAATGTAGTATGTCCTGTAGACATTCATACTAGACACAATCACACTATATAGAACATACTTTTTTAGCAGCCGTGATGTATTTCCTTATTCAAAATGAGCACCTACTCAAGAGAATATGCGATTTTGGATGCAGCCACTGTGTTTATGAGCAAGTCATTGAATCATTCACTCGCTGATCCGTTCCAAAATGCTGATTAATGAAGGAATGAAACACCACCACTCTGTTGCTCGAAGACCTGAAAACTCTTTACTATTTTCATTGGCGGCCAAAATAATTGTCTAAAATCCAAGATACTCAATATTAACCTGTTTATTGAACTGTATACAAGCAATATCATACTCACCAACCAGTTTATTTCAACTGTGTTTGAAAATATTTGCCCTGCAGTCAGTTCCTGGTTTGAAGTGATTCGGAAACAAAGTTATGGCTACTTTTTAAAAATTATTTGAATGATTAATTTAATACATTATTCCAGAAAGTGTTAACATTGAACATTAAAAAAACAGATGAAAGTGCTTTGGGACCAAGCACCTCATATGGAAATGTTACATAGGAATATTTAGCCATAATATACTGCATATATTGTATAGAGCATGTAAGGACCAATTTCATTGTCCAACTCAGGCTATTGGGGGTCAGTGTCCGAGCAGTCTGGCTGAGCACTATGCGGAGGTCTTGTTCTCAGTGAGTCGTAACTGTCCCAGTGTTCTGTCTCTGTGGCTCAGAGAGGCTCTTCTGCCCCCTGGTTTCCCCAGCTCACACCTCACCGCTGAAAACAAAGAGCACTTCTGCCAGCAGATCCTCAGGTAGGCCCACGACATTAGCATTAGCATTAGCACCAGAACACCAGACAGACACTTTGCCCCTTAAACACATTTTTTATTCATTTCTTCTGTTTAACCATTCGCACAGGGAACAAGCGAGTAAGCGACGGATGAAGGACATTGTGAAAGAGTTTGCTCTGTTGAGTCGGGGACTTGAAGGGACCGAGTACACAGCGAGCTACTAAACACACTCTCCATGCAAGACCCAGATTGGATCTCGAGACATATTTGCTTTAGTATTGTGGGGTCAAAAGATACAGTGCACACTTTAGAATACAATAAAGCTAAATTGTCAACATGTTATGATTGAAAAAGCAATCTGAATGACATCATTAAATTTGATTTTGGTTTTTTAATACTGTCTTATCATCTGTAAACATCAAAACAGTGCTGATTTCACCGCGCAGAAAAAAACACTGTATTTTTGTCTTGTTTTCTATTAAAACAAGTTACATTTACTTACCGTACAACTTATTTTCAGAGAATATATCTCTATTTTTCTTTGCTTGTTGAAAAATGTTTTAGGATAAACCTCACTAAATGTTGTGATTATGCAAGTCTTATTATCTTAAGCAATCTCCTCCATTTTAAAGATGTTCCGAAAATTTTAACGTTTTAAGGATTTGTGAATTTGTATTAATGATGATTGTTCCAAATCTGTGTGAGCTTTATCAGTTTTCACTGAAACTTAAACATTTTAAATATCTTGAATAAATCCCTCCATATTTACACTACAAAATTTCAAAGGTTTGTGTTTGGTAAGATTAAAAAAAAAAAGTCTCATGCTCACCAAGGCTACATTTATTTGATCAAAATACAGTAAAAAACATGAAATATTATTAAAATCTAAAATAACTGTTTTCTATTTTAATATATTTTTCAAATGTAATTTATTCCTGTGATGAAAAGCTGAATTTTCAGCATCATCACTCCAGACTTCAGTGTCACATGATCCTTCAGAAATCATTATAATATGCTGATTTACTGCTCAAGAAACATTTATTTTTATTATCGATGTTGAAAACAGTTGTGCTGCTTAATATTTCTGTGGAAACCGCTAATTTTTTTTCAAGATTCTTTGATGAATAGGAAGTTAAAATAAAAAGCATTTATTGAGATAAAACATCTTTTGTAACATTATAAATATCTTTACTGTCACTTTAATGCATCTTTGCTGAAAAGTACTTATTTCTTTAAAAAACAAATCTTCCAGACCCCAAACTTTTAACCAGTACATACAACTATTGCTAGACGTACAGTAAATATAACCTTTTGTCTGTTCGTCATAAAAAATCACAGGATTAGTGTTAAGTGCATTTATTTCTCACAGATTTCATGATCTGGTTTTGATACACACATATAAAATATGTAAATTTTCATAAGCCATTTCCGTATAACCTCATGACTGAAGTCATGATAATGACAATATAGGTCATATAGGTTCAATTCTCTATTAATACTTCTACTTATACAATAGCACATCTGTTTGGACATCCACAATGTACAATAATAATAATAATAACCGACTGAATCTTAACATAAACAACAAGCTCACTCAATTTGTATGGGGTAAAACAGAAATCTGCTCAGTAAAAAAGAGTGGAGGAAGTGCTAGGGTCTCTCTCCCTGTCGGAAGGTCTGGAGTTGATGCAAGGACACAGAACAGAGTGAGTTCAAGGCTTTCATTCGTTCACGTGATTGGATGGACTTCTGTGAATTACCGTATCCTGGTGAACAGGTTCAACACTGATTTGGATTCCTGGAAACAGACGAAAAGAATGTGAAACACAGGTAACAGTTGAGGTGCAGGACGAGGTACACGTCCAAATGTAACACTTCAGCCTGACCTTGGTGCAGCGTGTCTTGCTGAAGACATTCCAGAACCTCAGTGTCTCGTCTCCTGCTCCCGTCACGATGGCCTCACCGTCCGGAGACACCGCCTGCACACAACCAAGACGCCCACATTCACTTCTGATGTGTGTCTGAATTAACACAGGATAACATTATTACATTACAGATCTTAGATTTGATTACTCTTTTGTCTTCGGCGGTCATTTGTACATAATTAAAAACTGGATCCGGAGACAACCATGCCAACCACGGTGTCTCTTAACCACGCTCTAAAGTGAGCTTTCCTGGTACACTTGGAAAATGTTCCCTGTTATTGGATTCGATTAAACATAAAAGGTAAGAAAATAAGAAACGTTAAGAAAAAACACAATAAGATACGCTGTTCATTTCATAAGGAATACTGATTTGAAAATACCTTTTTCAGGAAGTTTAAATTGACTGACTAAAATCTAAAATATTTTTTTATAAACGCACTCACTGGCCACTTTATTAGGTAGACCTTGCTTGTACCGGGTTGGACTCACTTTTGCCTTCAGAATTGCCTTTATTCTTCATGGCAGAGATTTAACAAAATGCTGGAAAAATGTATCTGAGATTTTAGTCCATATTGACATGAAAGCATCACTCAGTTGCTGCAGATTTGTCGGCTGCACATCCATGATGAGTGTCTCCCATTCCTCCACATCCCAAAGAGATCTGGTGACTGTGGAGGCCATTTGAGTTTAGTGACTCACTGTCATGTTCAAGAAACAGTTTGAGATGAGTTGAGCTTTGTGATGTGTGTGTTATCCTGCTGGAAGTGGCCATCAGAAGACGGAAACACTGTGGTCATAAAGAGATGGAGATGGTCATCAACAATACTCAGGTCTGCTGTGGTGTTTAAACGATGCTCAATTGGTGCTGAGGGACCCAAAGTGTGCCAAGAAAATATCCTCCACACCATTAAACCAACACCAGCAGCACCAGCTGAACCGTTCATACAAGGCAGGATGAATCCATGCTTTCATGTTGTTTATGCCAAATTCTGACCCAACCCTCTGAAAGACTCATCAGACCAGGCAACGGTTTTCAATAATTTCCTGTCCAGTTTTGTTGTGAATCGTAGCCTCAGTTTGCTGTTGTTATCTCACAGGAGTGTCACTGGTGTGTCTTCTGCTGTTGTAGCTCTTCTGCTTCAAGGTTCAACATGTTCAGAGATGCTCTTCTGCAGACCTCGGGTGTCACGAGTGGTTATTTGAGTTTCTGTTGTCTTTCTATCAGCTGAACCTTGTAATTCTTCTCTGACCTCTGGCATCAACAAGGCATTTTCTCCCACAGAACTGCAGCTCACTGGATATTTTCTCTTTTTCTGGACCATTCTCTGTAAACTATGGAAGCTTGTTTCCGCCACAGAATGAAAAATAAAAAAGGTAATTGCAACTTTTTCTCTCATAGTTCTGACTTTTTTTCTCACAATTACGAGATATAAAGTCAGAATTGCGTGATATAAAATCGCAATTGCGTGTTATAAAGTCAGAATTTATTGATATAAAGTCAGAATTTATTGATATAAAGTCGCAATTGCGTGTTATAAAGTCAGAATTGCGAGATATAAAGTTAGAATTGATTGATATAAAGTCGAAATTGCGTGTTGTAAAGTCAGAATTGTGAGATATAAACTTCCCCCTTAGAATTGGCCTGATAACTCGCAATTGCGTGTTTACATCTCACAATTCTGAGAAAAGATGTCAGAATTTCGAGATATAAACTCACAATTATGTGTTATAAAGTCAGAATTGCGAGATGTAAACTCGCAATTCTGAGAAAAAAAGTCAGAATTGTGAGATAAAAAGTCGCAATTCTGTCTTTTTTTCTCGCAATTGCGACTTTATTTCTCATAATTGCGACTTTATATCTCGCAATTGCGACTTTATATCTCAGAATTGCGACTTTATATCTCGCAATTGCGACTTTATTTCTCACAATTGTGACTTTATTTCTCACAATTGTGACTTCATATCTCGCAATTGTGAGATAAAAAGTCGCAATTATTATTATTATTCTTTTTTTTTTTTTATTCAGTGGCGGAAACAAGCTTCCATAGTAAACCCTAGAGATGGTTGTGTGTGAAAATCCCAGTAGATCAGCAGTTTCTGAAATACTCAGACCAGCCCTTCTGGCACCAACAACCCTGTCACATTCAAAGTCACTGAATCACCTTTCCTCCCCATTCTGATGCTCAGTTTGAACTTCAGCAGATCATCCTGACCATGTCTACATGCTTAAATGTATTGAATTGCTGGAGTGTGATTGGCTGATTAGATATTTGTATTAACGAGCAGCTGAACAGATGTACCTAATAAAGTGGCTGGTGAGTGTATTATGAATACATAAATATTATGGTTTTGGGAAGTCGCACCACATTTTACAACAGGAACTAATCTTTCCTTGCCAAAAAAAACCCATAAAATGATCTGATATTTTAAGAGACTTATTGACCTTGACACACAGTCATGGGGGTCTGCAGGAGTCACTCCATGACATCATTTCCTGTTTGTTAGATTTTGTTTCTGCATCTTGGTCGCACCACATGACTTTGATTTGGTTTTCCAAATAATAATAACTTATAACAACCCTTTGTTAAAATATATATTTTTCTATCAGGGAAATAAAAGTATGCATGTTTTTTTTTGTTGAGTATCATATTTGATGTATCAGGTTTTTGTGGCCCATATAGTGATATTGTGAGAATATGGAGCTCATACTTCAGAAAAATGCACCTTAATTTTACTCAGAGGCCCAAACTGAGCAGAAATATGCAATTGTGAGATGCATGTTCCTTAAAATCCTGACGTATCATATTTGAAACTCACATTTTAACATAAAAATGTATGTATGGATAATCCATTAAACCTAAGTTGCTTCAGTCCTGTATATCTTTGTTTTAAAATATTACTAATAATATAAAAAATATTCTTACGTTAATTCAGTAAAGATTTCACAGCAAAAAGACGTGTGCCACGTGAAGAACGCGTGAAGATTGTGTACAACAGTTTTTTCTTAGCAAAGTTCTGATCATGTTGATAATTTAGAGGCACTAGGAATTTGTGTTTGTTTTTTATATTTGTTCAAACATGATCTAGTAGGCTTTATGGGGTTAATAAAGTTTCACGAATTGTATTATTTTAGTCTTTTTTTCTTCATTATAAGGACAGTTGTATCACCCTGAGTTTTTTGCCTGTGTGTAAAGTCGCTGTATGTACAAATGAATTGCAGATCCGATAAAACACTTACCAAGTAGAGCACTCGGTACGAATGTCCTGTGAGCTTGGCTACCTGGGTGAGTGATGGGTATTTCCACACCAGGATCTGGTTCTGGGAGTAGCCGTGTGTGCTGACCTGATAGACATCAATGGTGAAAGCCAGCATGGGGGGGGGGGGGGGGGATCACATGACGTGACTGAGGTTG